GGCTTGTTGAGTTGGAGAGAGAAAGCGAGGCAGGAAATCAAAATGAAAGAGAGGAGAGATGTCCTTGACAGGACTCAGCACACTATCCCCCTACTGCCCACCCTGCCTTCCAGCCAGCCAGCACCCAGGGTCACCCAGCCTGCTCGGTTCTGCTGGGGCTCTGAGCCCAGGGTCTTCCCATATGGCCCCAGCATCAGGCAGTATATCTCACCACCTCGGTGGGGCCACATGTTCATAGATCGATCTTCGATACCCCAGTTTCACCAAAGCCACTTCTTTTACAGCTTGTTTGAAGATTCAGTCACACTTTCTACATGGACGGTCACGTCTGTCCTACTTTGTCCTTCACGATGTTTGCCGTTTCCCCCTTTTTCATGCCTCACTGCAAGCACCGGAATCTCCACTGCAACGTGACAGAAGTGCTAAGAGGGGACATTCCTGCCTGTGCCTTCCTAGGGAAGGCAATCTTTCACCACCATGTTAGCCACGTATTTTTGGTAGCTGACTTTCTCAGATTGAGAAAGCCCCCTCGTATTTCCAGGGGGCTGAGGGTTTCTTTTTACCATGGATGGGTATTGGGTTTTGTCAAATGCTTTCTCTGCTTCTACTGGAACGATCGTAGGGCTTTTTCTCTCTTCGTTTAGTATGGTGAACTCTACTGATTTTTTTCAAATGTTCAATTCATCTTGCATTACTGGGATAAATCCCATATGGTCATGATGTATTATCCTTTCTCATACGTTACTGGAGCCAGTGTGCTAAGTTTTCACATCTGTATTCATGAGGGATATTGGTCTGCAGTTCTCTTGTGATACCTTTTTTGGTTCTGGTGTCAGGGTAAGCTTTATAGAGCAAGTTGGAAATGTTCTCTGCTCTGACATTTCCTGGAAGAGATTGTATAGAGTCAGTATTATTTATTGATTAAACACTTGGTGGAATTTACCAGTGAAACATTATGGCCTGTAGCTTTCTTTGTCACACACACACACACACACACACACACACACACAATCTAACTAGAAATTTAACTTTCTTAATAAATAGGGCTATTTTGTTTCTTTCTTTTTCTTTTTCTTTTTTTAATGAGCTTTGATCATTTGTTTTCTTTAAAGAAACTTTTCCACTATATCTACATTGTAAAATTTATTGGCATAAGGTTGCTTATAGTATTCTCTTTCTATTCTTTTTTAATGTTTAAAGTTTATTTATTTATTTATTCCAGGTGAGAGAAAGAGCACCCCCGGTAGGGTCTCGATGCCACAGTCCACCCCTGCTTTCAGCCAGCCTGGGATCATGGCCATGAGCATGCCTGATGTGTTCAGGGAGGCCTCTGGACATACACCTAGAACCTTCCCATGTGGGTCAGCCTCGCATAGCATCTTTACCACTGTACCACCATCCAGCCCCATCCTTTCTAATAGTTACAGATGTCTGCGGTGCTGTCATCCCTTTCATTCATGATTTCACTCATCTTTGCAATCTCTTTCTCAGATTGTGTAGCGGTCCGTCAATTTCATAGATGTTCTAGGATGACATATGCTGAGGAATTATGGCAGAGCAGATTGCAGGGTGGGCCTTGCTCTTCCTAGCTCTCACCACCGGAGGAGTGAGCCAAGCAGGCAGGAGCCCTGCAGCTGCCCATACACAATACTCCACGAGCCTGACACCCACCTCTAGTGTCCTGGTTTGACTGTCCTGAGGAGCACCTTTTTACTTTGCATCATCCTGGAAAAAGGCTGGGATGGGAAAGGACCAAGGTGAAGAGTCTTAGTCTGAAGGGAGCCAGAGGCTGGGTCTGGACTCCTGGGTGCTCTGCCCTGAGCAAGCTGAGCACTGACTTGGGAAGGCGGGGGACGGTGACACACACAAGATCAGCCTGATGGCGAAAACTTTCACATGCTTACTCTGAAACGGTTGGATCTGAGAGCTGCGCAGACACTTTCTTCTTATTTGTGCAACTGAAGTAAAACAACAGATTGCTCTGGAATGAATTCTAACTGTCGTCTGTAAGGAGACAGGAAATGGCTTGTAGCATTGAGCTGCTAGTTTTTCCAATCTTTCATCAATCAGATATCGCAAGTACTTAGGCACTGAGGTTCAGCCGCACCCTCATCACTCCTGCGGCTGGGTCCCTAGGACACGTTTCCCTGTGGGCCGAGGGCGACTGGCTGGCTCCTAGCACCTCTGCAGAGGATGTTGTCATGAGATAACAAAAGTCTTAATTTCGTAGCTGTTCAAATGACCAGCCCTAGGAAAGGAAGCTGCTCCAACAGAAAATGGCAATGAAAATACTAAGAAACAAAAAAGAATCCAGTAAAATAGAAAACATGATTTAAGATGACAGAAATAAATCCTGATTTATCAGGGATTATCAGAAGAGCGAGTGGATTAAAAAAAAAAATCAAAGGTCAGCAGATGGCATGGTGGCTAAGGCACTGGATTTTCACAGGGCTGACTGCAGTTCCAGTCTCATATCCAGTGACTTGAAACTCACACTGGGCCACTGTGCCCAAAACCTTGGGAAGAGAATGTAGGAGAAGGGAGTGTAGCTTGGCCATCACCTAGGGAGTGATTTCTTACTCCCCTCCCCTTACCAGTGAGCATACATGCCCTATGGCAAAAACATTAAAACAAAAAAAAGTTAAAAGATTGAATAGATGTTTCTGGAAAGAAGACTTAAAAAGTAGAAGAGGAACAAGTATATGAAAAAATGCTCAAGGTCACTAGTCTTCATTGAAATGTAAATCAAAACCACAAGGAGCTATCATCGTCCCCCACACCCCACCCCACCCCTTAGAATTGCTGTTATCAAAAGGATAAAAAGTTACAAGTGTTGGTGAGGCTGCACAAAAAGGAGAACTCTTTTGCTTCATTGGTGAGAATGTAAAGTAGCACAGGAAGGACGACAGTATGGAGGTGCCTTAAAAAGCTAAAACTAGAACTACCACATAACCCAGCAATCCACACAGGGTATACATCCAAAGAAAAGGACATCCATAGAATATCTGCACACCAGTGTTCACTATAGCTCCACTCACAACAGCTGATACACAGAATCAACCTAGGTGTGTATCAACAGACAAATGAGCACAGAAAATGCACACGCGCACGCACACACACACACACTCTGGAATACGATTTAGTCATTAAAAAGATTGAAAACCTGTCATTTGAGGTTATAGGCATAACATAAAAGCTTTTATGTTAAGTGAAATAAGCAAGGTGCAGAAAGAGAAAAAGCATGTTCTCACTCATAGGTTGACACTAAAAACGTTGACTTCATGTAAAGAGAAAGTAGACTAGTGGTTATAAAGGTGAGAAAGAGTAGTGGGGGGAGGATAGGAAGATAGGCAGGGTAGGTATCAATACAAAATTTCACTCAGAAGGAACTCTCTTGGATTCTATACCATGTTAGGGCAGCTATAGTGAATAATTCATTGGATATTTCAAAATAGTTGAAAGAGAGGATTTTGAATGTTTCCAACCCAAAGTGATCATGTTTTAGATGATGGATGTGTGGAGTACCCTGATCTGATCATTACATGTTGTATTCACATGCTGAGAAGTCACACCGTAGCCCATAAATACATACAATTAATACGTGCCAATGAAAAGTTAAAATGTCCAACAGTGTTATCTGCGAGAGACAGAGTAATTGATGAGCACAGGACAGGAAGATGAATGCCAAATGTTCGTGGGCCTAGAGAATGTTGGGCAGCAATCTAAGCATTATGCCATAGACAGAGACTTCTCATAGTCAGCTCATCAACACAAAGACCACACATTCGACCCAGTAATCCCATTCTTGTGTATTTGCCCAAGGGACAGAAAATCACTCAGTTGAAGAAACATTTGCACCTCTCTGTTGATTGCAGTGGTATTTGCAATAGCTGAGACGTGGAACCAACTTAAGTGCCCAATAACTGATGAATACTTCAAGAATCTGGCACATATACACAATGGAATAGTACTCATCCGAAAAGAACAACCAGATCCTGTCATTGGACACAAAGTGGATGAACCTGGAAGATAAAATGCTAAGTGAAATTAGCCAGGCTATGAGAGACAAATACTGTATGTCACTGCTTAACATACACTGAATGTCTGCACTCGGTGGTGGAGACGGGACACAATGGCACCACAGTAGAGTCAGATACCAGACGTTCCAAGGGCGGAGGAGGGAGGGGTTTGGGAAAATGAGCAATACACACAAGAATGTACGTAAACAAGTGGATAAGTTATGGAAGTGTACATCACAGCTGAGTAAACACATAGCTGACAATTCAGTATATACTTCCCCTCTACAAAAATGCCAATAAAACTATTTTGAATAGATACAGCATTGTGCAATGTTCAATACTGACGACAATGAATACGTCTATATTTTTTATTTGATTATTATACACTACATGCATCCTTTGAAAAACCATACTGTACCCCACAACTATGTACGATGATTCTTTGTAAGCCAGGAATCAAAGTTTCAAAATAAAAAATAAAATTAAATGATACACTGTCAATAAATAAAGTCTTTCAACAAAAGTTTTTTTTTTTTGAAAGAACATACATTCTCCAAACAACAACAACAACAAAAAAAACATAGAAATGCAGTCAGAAAGAGCATAGTTTAAATGTTGTATGTTGGGAGAAACCAAATAACATATTATTATGAATTTGGGGCTATAGAAGAAATAAGTGAAACTATAAAATCATGTAAAAGTGATGTTAACAAAAATAGTACATATCAGAATGATAGGGGATAGCACTAGGCAGTTATTACTGGAAAATAAGTAGCATTACAAATTAATCACAAATTATCAAATTGATGAAACATATGTTTAAATATTTGGTCCAGACAGGGTGGAGAAATGGAGAAGAGATTGTAGCATGACCACCTCCCATTGAGGGATGCTTTCTCCTTCTCCCTCTCTGTCTCTCTGTCTCTCTCTGGTGAGCATATGTGTCCTTTAGCAAATTATATATAAATATGTAATTTATATATATTTCCCCTCTACAAAAATGCCAATAAAACTATTATGATGTTATAATATATATATAGAGAGAGAGAGAGAAAGAGAAAGAGTCCAGTTATAATCACATCATTGTCCTTATTGTCCTTTTTTTAATTCTTTAATTTTTTGGACATGAGATTTTATCAGTTATATGATTTACAAATATTTTCTCTTGATCTGTGGCTTAATTTTTTTTCATGTTCTTAATAATGTCTTTTGAAGCATACATTTAAACAAATGCTTTCATACACTCCAGTTTATCAGTGTTTACTTTTATGATTCCAACTTTTGATGTCACGTCCAAGGAATCGTGCCTAACTCAAAGCTTCAAATATATGCTTCTGGGTATTCTACAAGTTGTACTTTTGCCTCTTCGTTTAGCCCCCTCTGTGTCAGTTTTTTGTATGAGCTAGGACGCCACATTTATTCCTTTGCATGCGAATATCCGGATGTCCCAGCATTATTTGTTGAAAAGATTATATTCTTTTCCATTTGAATTGTGTTTGTGCCTTCGTCAAAAATTGACAATAAATATAGAGGTTGATTTCTGGGCTCTCAGTTTTGGTTATTGCTCTGTATTGTCTGAACTGGTGCCAGTAAGAAACTGTCTTAATTATTTGTTTATAAGATCTATAGTGAGTTTATAGTAAGTTTTGAGATTGGGAGGTTAAAGTCCTACTTGGTCACATTTCAAAACTGTTTTGCCTATACAGGACCCTTTGCTTTTCTATGTAAATATTAGGATCAATTTGTCCATTTTTGTGCAAATCCCTGCTGGAACTTTGATAGGGATCGTATTGAATTAGAAATCATTTAGGGGGTCGTTGTCCTCATAACGCTATTGACTCTTCTAGCCTCAAACATGGAAATGTCTCTTTTGCTTAAGTCTTTTTAATTCCTTTCAGCAATGTTGGGCAGTTTTTAGCATTCGAGTCTTATACTTCTTTTGCTAAATTAACTTTTTAAGTGTTTTATTCTTGTTGATGCTATTGTGAGTGGAATTGTCTTTTTATTTTTATTTTCAGGTTTTTCATTGCTAATCTATACAGGTTCAATTGATTTTTATATATTGATACAGTACCCTGCAACTTTGTTAAACTTGTTTATTAGTTCTAGTATTTGTGTGTATGTGTGTGTATTTATCTTACTTAGGGGCTCTCAAAAATTCATAAATCTGTTACTTTCTTTTTTTTTTAAATCTTTCACCAATTTTGGAAGTCTCAGCTATTATCTCTTCAAATAGTTTTTGTTTCACAATTTCTCTTTTTTCTTCATAAGAACATAACCACACACACACACACACACACACACACACACACACTGGAGCATGTTAAAGTGTTTCACAGCTTTTAAATGCTTCATTTAATTTAGTTTCTCTCTCTTTTCCTCACTCTCACTCACTCTCTTCCATTTTTCTTCTTTGTATTTCATTTTAGATCATTCTACTCACCTCTCTCCCAGTTCTTGTTTTCTCTAGTTCTGCCCAGCCTGTTAATCAGCCTGTTATAAGAATTTTTTCATCTCTGATACTGTATTGGGGGTTCATTTACATTTGATTATTTATGTAGTTTATGGTCTTTTAAAAATAGTTTTCATTTGCCTGCTAAATTTCTCTCCTGTGAATGTTTGCTGCCCAACTTTTCCCACATATCAACCACAGTGATTTTCACGTTCCAAATGAGCATTTCCACATGTGAGTTGTACCAAAGTCTTATTCTGTTCATTGCTTTATCACATGACAATGGTTTCTTTTACCTTCCTTTTTTGTTATACTATAAATTTTGATTGAAAGCCAGATATTTTGTCTAAGTAATAGAGAATGCGGTAAATAATCTGTATTCAAATGGGCTTACACTTTTTTCCATGGGGCCACTGGGATGCGATTCGTGGCAATCTAGTTGGTAGGTGAGTTGGGTTTGGGTTTTAGTTTAGACTACATTACCTCAGGGCCCCAGAGACTTTGAAGTCCTCTGGTTATGCCATCATTAACCGTGCTGTACTGTGAGGCCCAGGTGACAGAGGGGTCTTCTCAGCGTGTCTCATGCACCTCTAATTCTAGCAGATCCCTCATGTCTGAACCATGAAGAGAGAGTTCTCCATACTCTTGACCTTCCATTTTTCATTTGTGTAACCAATTTTTATTGAGCATCTATTTTGGGAAGGCACTGAGATCAAGTATGGTTTATTCCCAGAGGGTAGGGAGAGTAGATGATCTATTTATGCAATTCTGGAACTTCACAAATGATAAGATCGAGGAATATTGCTAGTCTAGACTGCAAACATTTATAAACATCTACAAAGTTCAAAAGGTTAAGGGTCAACTTTTTTGTAGATAAAAGAAAAAACTTGAAAAGCTGGCAATATTTTTAACTCCTAAAGGTTACCCATCAGAAATTGGTATTCGATTTTATATGAAGGTGGGCAATGAGAAGAAAACAGCTATGTCCTGTCTTATTTAACATATTTGGATGTAGCATCATGACAAGATAAACATAAATACAGTTAAAGATATTTTAGAAGAAAAATAAAAGTTCTAGAGCAAATAAAAGTACAAGATAGAAATGCTATAAATGGACAGGTTTTCTATACAACACGCAGAAAAACTATCATGTGATATTTCCTATTATTTTTTTAACATTTATTAAATTTTATTTCTTATTATTTTTTTTAATCTGACCAGAGAGAGGCAGGAAGAGGAGAGAGAGAGAGAGAGCGAGAAAGTGAGAAAGCAAGCCACCAGGTCTGGGACTCAAACTGTGGTCAGCCATGCAGGCGTCCAGTGCCTCAACTACCATGCTGCCTACTGACCCCGATAGCTCCCATTCTTAATCCATTTACATAACCATAGAACACTACAAAAACACCGTGGAGAAAAGCTAGAGTAAATGGGGAAAAAATAATGTTAAAAAAAACTAGTTTGAAGTCCCTCATTTCTCCCAAAACAGAGTTAAACTAATGGAGATAAATAACAAGTCCCTTGGTTGGGAAGACTCATCAAAACTTTAGTTCTCAAAAAAATGAATTTATAAATTTAATTCCACCCTGATGAAAGCAATTTCTTTTTCATCTTGCCTAGTGTTTTCTACAGTTCTCATCAAGGAGTAAATGTACTAGATTAGTGGTTACATTTATTAAAGGTAAATATGAAAACAGAAGAATGAGTGGAGATTTTCTAGACCAATACCAGAATAGACGACAAAGGTACAGTGATTAAAACAGCGCTGCCTCGATTCCAGATGACGCAAATAAAACAACGAGACAGACCAAAAGCCTATCGTGGTCACTGAGGAAACAACAGACATGGCGTCTTGAGTCCCTGGAAAAGGACAGACTACTGCTGAAACGGCATTGCCACCTCTGCTAACTTGTCTGGAGAAAAAGAATGAGATAGTACCTTAGACACAAAAGCGGGTTAGGTCTAATTGAAACGAAGGCAGAAAACTGTGAAATAAAAATTCAGCAGAAACACAACATTTCTGAGGAGACATATGGAGAATGTTAATATAATCCTGACATGGCAGGACTTACATAAACATGGCATGAAACGGGAATAGTAAAGGAACACATGCGAGAGCTGACTATTTAAAAATGGAACACTTCTTAGGGCAAGTCACAATGTAAGTATTATAAATTAAGAGAAAATGTCTGAAAGGATAACAATAAAAATATTAATATCCCTAATATCCAAAACGATTACATAAATCAATAAATAAAAGCCTAGAAGCTCAACAGAAATATGGACTCAGCATGTGGATGTATAATTTATAGAGGAGCTAAGTTTGGGGTTTCATATGCATAATTCTCTGATTAAATATGTACATTAAGGTAGTAAATTATGTTGGCTGCCTTACATTTTAATTTTTTTCTCAATGGATCTACATCAACTAAACAATTTCTGTCAAACTACTAGACAGATTATTTTGTAAAAATAGATAAAATTATTGTGAAATATATATGTCAGGGCAAAGGAACTAAAGTGGCTAAATTAAAAAAAAAAGAATCACACTACTTAGTTGTTCTTTTTTTAAGAATTTTTTTATTTGACTTTATTTATTTACTTATTTTTTTTTTTTAATTTGACCAGCGAGGGACAGAGTGAAAGAGACAGGGACAGAGTGAAAGAGACAGTGACAGAGACAGAGCGAGAGAGAGAGAAGAGAGAAAGTGAGAAAGCAAGCTACCAGAACCAACAACGGTCATGTGGGAGTCCAACGCCCTTAACCACCACGCCATCTGCCGGCTCCACACGCCACTTAGTTTTCAGACTTACTATAAGGCTACAGAAACTAAGAATGTCCCACCAAAGAAAAGACAGACACACGGGTAAATGCAACCAGCAGGGAGTTCCTACACAGACTCACACAATTATGGCCAATAGCTATCTTACAAGGATGCAAAACAACTTGATAGAGAAGAGCAGGCTTTTTTTTTTTTTCTTCGCTATAGGGCGTGTGCGCTGTCAGACAGACAGAGAGAGACATAGAGACAGAAAGCGAGAAATCACCCCCCAGGGGGGATGGTCACGCCGCAATCCCTTCTCCTCCATTCTCCTCTCAGGATCCTGGGCACGCACGCACACGCACCCGGCGTGAGTTCCAAGCCACCGGGTCCGGGACGCGAACCACAGGCGACTACGTGGGAGTCCAGCGACATAGCCATTACGCTAACTGCTGGTTCCCAAGAGCAGGCTTTTCAACAAGTGCTACTGGAGCTGTAAGAGATCCACCATTAAAAACATGGCCCTTCGCCTAAACCTCAGACCTTATAAAAAAATGAACTCGATTTAGATCAAAGCTCTAAAACTTTTAGGGAAAAAACAAAAAAATAGAAGAAAATGTCCGGGACCTGCACTGTCAAAGAATTTCTAGGTATAACATCAAAAGCATGATCTATATATGTGTTTTTTTAAAATCAAGGAATTAAACTTTCTTGAAAGTACAAACCATTTACTCTGTAAAAGACCCTGTTGAGGAGGATGAAAAGATAAGCAACAGGCTGGGAGAAAATATTTACAAGCCACATGTCTGACAAAGAACTCATATTTAGAATACAGAAGGAATTCTCAAAGCTCGCCAGTAAAGAGAAAAACAATTCAATTAAGTTAGGCATGAAAAACTTGAAGAGGACAGATAAGTGACAAGCCCATGAAAAGGTACTTTACGTGCATAGTCACAAGGGAAGTACGAATGCAGACTACAATGTGGGTTTACTGCACACCTATTAAAACAGCTAAAACAAAAAATAATGACAAGACCAAATGCTGGCAAGGGTATAGAAAAACTCTATCTCACGTACACTGCTTGTGGGAATGGAAAATGGTACATCCGCTCAGGAACATAAATAGTCTGACAGTTTGTTAACAAACTAAACATACACTTAGCATGTGAACCGGCAGCTCTGCTCTTGAGCACTTATCCCAGAGAAAGGGAAACTGAAGTTCACCCTTAACCCCGTACATGACTGTCCATAGAAGTTTAATTTATGATAAAGCTAAAAACAACCAAGAGGTCCTTCAATAGGGGAAAGGCTGAACAAACGGTACTACGTCCATTCCATACCACGGATACTGCTTATCGGTAAAAAGAAACAAAGCCATGGATTCGTGCGATAACTTAGATGGATCTCGAGTGTGTTAGTGGGAAAAAAAAAAAAAAAAAGCCGATCTCAAGTGGTTCCATACATGCCGCTATGCAGCATTTTCAAACTGACAAAATAGTGGCAGTAGAGACTAGGGCCATGGTCGTAGCAGGCAGGGCTGGTGAGGTGAAGGGGGCTGGCTGAGAGGCAGCACGAGAGAGGTAGTTGAGGTGGTGGCCCAGCTCTGCCTCTTGCCCACAGTGGTGGTCGTGCGAGTGGGCACGTGTGAGACAGGGACTCATAAATACAACAGCTGCAGTAGCAAAGCCAGAGTCTTGGTTTTGATATTGCATATTTAACATAAAGCATTGAGGGAAACTGGTGAAAGCACACACAGAGACGACGTACTGCTTTAGAAACTTCTAGTGAATCTGTTATTATTTTTAAATAAAACTTTAAAAATATACCCTGTGCTTTTAAAAAGAAGGCATACATTGCAAACCTTTCGTGAGGAAGAAGGGGAAATAAAATGTATGTATCGAGTTATTTTTGCAATAGGAACCCCAGGAAGGCTAAACCAGAAACGAGCAAAATGCATGGGTGAAAAATCTTGGTTTTGACCTCGGCGGCCATGATAACGTTCTACATTTACAAAAATATTTACAGAGAATTAAAAAATGATGAAGAAGAACTAAAATGGATAAAAACAGAAATGGAGAAACTTCTAAGCCATTTCATAAAGAAGAGTCAGGAAGACAAGCTGGCCAAGACTTCTTCTCCCACAGCAGAGGGGCCCTGAGGGGCTGCAGGATGGAAGGAGCAGAGCAGGGACCCCGGCCAGCCCAAAGGAACTAGTCGCTGGCATTGGCCACCAAGGACATGTTCATGCGGCTGCTCCCCACAGCGGCAGAGATGTGGGCCTCACAGCCCCCTAGGCCTGGTATCAGGCAGCCAAGTGGTCTCTGCCCCGTCCCAGCCCCGGCCATCTGCAGCCACCCAGGGCCCCTCAGATCAAGGCCACAGTTAATCTGCTCCCCAAGGAAGGTCAGGGGAAAGCTCCAGCCTGAGCACTTCCCAGGTCCTTATCCCCACGGATTCCTCTCAGGGAAGATAAGCCCCAGCTTGGCCAAGGTGGGTGGGAAAGGAGAATGACTTCCTTAATTGGCATTTTCCAGTTGAGAGAACATTCTATACCTTTGCAGTTGTGTCACGTAATTACCAACTGTTTTCATTTTTGGGATGTAAAATTGCAGAAATGGTTGGGATTTAGTGCAGGAATGAAAATTGCCGAGTTAGGAAATGTCTCCCGGTCACTCTGACACGTCCCAGAGTAGGCGCTGTGGACCCCTGGGCCCCCCGGGCGGTGGGGGGCGGTGCAGGGCCCGCGGGCTCTGACGCAGATGTTTACCTGATGTCCTGGGCCGGGATCTGGTTTACGTTGGGAAAGCAGACTGTTTACGGGACGCCACATCTGCCTCGTCCTCTGGCTCCCTTTCATTTCCCTGTAATGTTGTGCAGGTCCCTCTCAGGTCTCTGTGGGAACGCCCGCGACATCACGCGAGTCACGCCGGCCCGGACAGCCCCATCTGGGAAACACATCAGCTCAGGACTTGGCACAGGGTGCAGATGCAGAGGGTGCGGGGACACCCTGATGGATGGTGGGAACCCGGGCCCAGAGCCAGGCACAGGGCCCCAGAGGGGGCGGGGGTCTTCTCCTTCTCCTTGCCCACAACCAAGGCTGGGCCAGTGGTGCCATCAGGACGCCGACCGCTCTGGCATGTTCTGGAAGCTGAGACCGACAGGGGGCAGTGGGGTCTGAGAGTGCCCCTTCAAGCTGAGAAGCCCCAGTTCCCGGGGCCTGAGTACCCTGACCCCAGCTGCAGAGCAGGGAGCCTGGGCGGTCTGGGAAGGCAGGAGAGGCCCTGGGAAGGGAGACGGGGTGCAGGACACAAAGCCACACAGGGACCCTGTGGCCCCTCCCTGCCCGCCTGCCCCTCAGACCATGGGCTGTGCCTGCTGTCCCCGAGG